GAAGAAAGGGGTAGTTTTTTGATTTCTGGTAAAAAATTTATTGGTGGGATTTATATCTTTTTGGATACTTGTGTGGCTACGGTGCGGGTGCACCCGCACCAGGCGGTAGTATATCACATAGATTCCAAAAATGCCCAGCTCTATCGAACATAACAGTGACCGAAGAAATTAGGGAGGGAGTGGAGTTGTTTGGCTTCTGGTAAGGAACATTGGGTGATTTTCATACAGCATGTTAATTGTGTTTGCATACGAGGCATAATCGTGGAATTGCCCGGTATGAGAAAACCATTGTGGCTGGCGGTGTTATGGTGTTGCTGCATTTTCCATTTTATTCTATCGTGTTCCAAGGCCCACCAATAACAGAAGCATCTTTAAGGGATGAACAAAGAATAAGTTGTATTGATGAAATGGTGCACCCCGTGTAACCGTACGGAGTGAGGCGCCGCGTCATGGGTGGATGAGGGCCCGCTTCTGCGTGTGGCTCTTTGGGTGATTGTTCGCTCGCTGTGCTTTGTGTGTTGGCTGCAGGGACGTGGCCGCATCCCGTTGGCCGTGGGATTGAACTGGAGGCGGTGGCGGTGTGTCTCTTCTCGTTCTTGTCCATTGTGGGTGAATGCGGGCGGTGTGTGCGTTTGTTGTGTAGAGGACCAAATCCTTCCACGCGCGGTCTGGCAGCACTGCGATGGTGTGTGTGTGTGTGTGTGTGTGTGTGTGAGGGCGATGGTGCTCCGCGCTGTTCCTTCCGGATTCTCTTGTGTCCCGCTCTCCGCATGGGTGCTCTGCTCTGCTCCCCACGGACGTGTCTGATGTATTGCCGCTTTTTTCTTCCTTCACTTGTTGAACACAGACACACGCTAGGAAGGAAAGCAAACAAACGCGAAACGCTACTGTGAGATTCGAAGGCACTGAAAGCGCCAACAACAGCACACACACACATTTTTATATGCTCTCACGTGTTGCTGCAGATAAGGCACCCAACAAACACAACCGTCGCCGCGTGACCGGATCCAGCGGAAGGAGGAGGAAAGGAAGAGAGAGTGAGCAGCAGAGACCCAACATGTCCCGGCATGTGTTTACTTCCGCTGTGCTGCTTCTCGTCGTGATGATGTGCTGCGGCACCTGTGGAGCTGCGGCCGCTGGAGGGAATAATGGGAAGAGTGGTTTAATAAATATTCATAAGCTGCGGGAAGTCGGTCTATTTGTGCCGCAGACGACGCTGGTGCTGCCGAAAGAGGGGACTGCTGCAGGTACGCCGAGGGATTCATTTGTTACACCCTCTCTCGTCAGTGCTGGTGGAGTAATTGCTGCTTTCGCCGAAGGCCACACAAACGCCAAAGGTCACACGAACGCCCAAAAAGACGGTGCTCAATCAATTACGCACCTTTACTCTGATGTTGTTGCGGGGTACATTGACTCTGCGTGGAACTGGACCACTCTTGTTGACAAGGTCAATCAAAGCACATGGAGGGCACACACCGTGCTTACTACAGCGGATGGACAGAAACGTTTGGATGTTATGCATCATCCCACAACAATCGCGAAGGGCGACAAGGTGTTTCTTCTTGCGGAAGGCTTTGGTTTGTCCTCTGTCAATGATAATTTGATTTGGGACAGATTGGACCTTAAACTGGTTGTGGCTACTGTCACGAATTCTACGGGCGGCGAGCCGAGTAAACGGATCAGCTGGGACAACCCCAAATCGCTGTTAAGCGTGAACATTTCCGCTACTTCTCACGAAAGTAAATTTGAGAGAGTTTTTCCTTCTGGTGGCTCAGGTGTTCTGATGGACAATGGCGCGCTCGTGTTTCCCGTGATTGCGTTTGCTGATAATAAGGGTCACTCCATGATCATTTATTCGACGGACGACGGCGCAAACTGGATGCTTTCGAATGGAACGTCACCTGCGAAATGCTCTAACCCTCGCGTCACCGAATGGGAGGGATCACTTCTCATGATTGTTGATTGCGAGGACGGCCAGAGGGTGTACGAGTCGCGTGACATGGGGACAACGTGGACGGGGACCATCGGGACACTCCCAGGCGTGTGGACCAAGTCAAAATTGACAGTCATTTTGGATCTGAGCTTTCATGTGGAAGCCCTCATCACCGCGACCATTGAGGGCAGGAAGGTCATGCTGTACACTCAGCGAGGGTACTTCTCGGAGAAGCAAACGGAAAGAGCGCTCTATCTTTGGGTCACGGACAACATCCGCTCGTTTTGTGTTGGGCCGGTTGCCATGAGGGATGGTATAAAATGGTTTTTCACCAGCAAACTGTTGTACTCGGATGGCAATTTGCATCTTTTACAACAGAGGGAAAAAGATAAAGGCAGTGCCTTGTCGCTTTCTCGACTGACGGAGGAAATGAGTACAATCAAGTCCGTCCTCATTACTTGGGCGCAAAAGGACGCCTTCTTCTCCAAATTGACCATACCCACGGCGGGTCTGGTGGCAGTTTTGTCCGGTGCGGCCAGTGGTGACACGTGGAACGACGAGTACCTTTGCCTGAATGCGACGGTGACGCCTAATGCAAAGAAGGTCAGATATGGATTTCAATTGACGGAGCCTAGCTCCAGGGTATCATGGTCCGTGAACACTCGGGCCAATAATGTGCGTCATGTATCCTTGAGCCACAACTTCACACTTGTGGCGTCGGTGACCATCGAAGAGACTCCGAGTGGGAACACTCCTCTACTGACTGCGACGTTGGCGGACACTAATTCCAATCATACCATGGGACTGTCGTATACGGCGGATAACAAGTGGGGGATGATGTTCGAAGGCAAGACAACAAAACAGAGCGGCAGTTGGGAGCCGAAGAAGGGATACCAAGTGGCACTCATGCTGCAAGGCAAAAAGGCCTCTGTGTACATTAATGGTAATTCGCTGGGGGAGGAAGAAGTGCCGTTAAAAGGTGAGGCGCCACTTGAGCTTGTACGCTTTTGCTTTGGCGCGTGCGGTGAGGATGCCGGCCAGAAAACTAAGGTGACGGTGACGAACGTGTTTCTGTACAACCGCCCACTGAATTCCACTGAAATAAATGCACTCAAGGACAAGGCCCACACTTTGAATGGCCCAGGGGAGGCACTGGCGGGGTGGGCAGCTCTGGAGGGAGCTGCCGCCAGAGAACATGCGGCTGTGGTGGGCTTGACGTCTGCTGGGAGCGGACTGCTGCCGCTGCTTCTTCTGCTGGGACTGTGGGGCTTTGCGGCTGCGTGAGGAGTGTGCGGCCTCAGTGGGGAACACTTGCGCTCTCCTCTGCAGGACACACACACACCGCCAGGAATATATTTTACTTCGTGGAGAATAATTTCTTTTTTTTTTTTTTTTAATTAATTTTCTTCTTTTTTGCTTGATGATTTAGGGCAATCAATATGGACGTTCTTTTTTTTCTACTCTTCCCTCTTTTTAATTGTTTCTTGCTGCGCTCTTCCTGTGAGGGGTGCCGTGTGTTTCCGCCCAACTGCTCCACTCGCACACCCACCGAGACGCTCATGACGACGGCCCTGTGCGCCTCGCCTGCTGCACGCATGAGGAGGGGCCGCGACGAACGGCGCGCTGAGGGAGCCGTGACGTGTGGGCGTGCGACGAGGGCCTGTGGGGCGGAGCACACATTTCTTTGCCTCTTGTTTTGTTTTTAGCGGTCAGGGCGGGCAGACACCCGTAGCGCCACACCCTGCCGCCGTGTTTTTTTTCTTCTCTTTTCTTTGTTTTTTTTTGCTGCGCTCACTATTCCGGTGGAGAGACGCGACTCCCCGTCATGTCTGCGTGCTTCTCTCAACCCCCCCCCCCCCCCCCCACACACACACACACACACACAAACACACGAGTGACTGTGCTCTGCAGGCCGCACTCACGCGCCGATGAAAGGGCTGAGGGGAGCAGCAACGCGCAGATGACCCCATGAAATATAAACGATGTGCGGACACACATGGAGGGTCAGACGTTTGAAAGACATGTAATTATTTAATTTTCTTTTTGGGCAAAATAAAAAAACAGCTTGGTATGGCCACACGGTAACCAGCCGCTTTTTTTTTTTTTCTTTGTGTGTGTGTGTGGAACAGTAATAGAGGACGACTTTTTCTTTTTTGTGTGTATGGAACAGTAGTGGAGGAAATCTTTTTTTTTTTTTTTTTTTTTGTGCGTGGGGTCAAAATGTGAGGAACGGGAATTTTTTTTGTTTTGTTTTTAAATGAATGTTGTTTGATTTGTTATTGCTTTCCGCCGTGGACCCCTGCTGTGCATTTGTGTTTGTGCGTCCCTTCAGATGCTTTACGCCTCTTCTCTTTTTTCCCCTTCCTTTTTTCCTACTTTGTTGAGCGTGGCAGTGGGCGCACACAGCCACACGCGCAGGACAAACACATTGCAGTGCAGGTGGATGCTTCCTTTGTACTCGGTGCTGGCAGTTGCGTGCAGCTGCCGCCTCCTTCCGTGGGCGTGAGGAGAAAGGAGGAGAGAGAGTGCGCACCGCGAGTCTTTTTTTCTGTTGACGTGATGCACCGCGTGTGACCGTACTGAGTGGGTTGCCGCTTCATGGCTGGATGAGGATCCGCCTGCGCGTGTGGCTCTTTGGGCGATTGCTGGCTCTGTGAGCGTTGTGTGTTGTCTGCAGGGCCGTGGCCGTATCCTGTTTGCAGCGGGATTGAACTGGAGGCGGTGGCGGTGTGTCGGTTTTCTCGTTCTGCATGGTGGGTGACTGCTGTCTTGTGCATTTGTTGTGTGGACGCCGTCTCGTTGTTTATGCAAGCAGTGAGTCACGACCTCCATGGAAGGCCGCATCCTTTCAGCCCGCGTTTATACGCCGTTGTGCGGTGTATTTGGACATGTCGTTTGTTATGTGCACGAGTGCCGGACATGTTTTGCCGGAGCGTTGGGCGGCCCGGGAGTTGGGGGGCAAGCAAGGGCTTGTCGTTGCTGAGAGGGAGCGTTTGAGCACCGACTACGCCAAAGCCGTTGCGGACGTACAGACTCGGAGTGCTCTGATTTACTTTCAAAAGGAAGAGGCGCTCAACTACCGCTCGGCACGTGAAACTAACATTGCGGTGGTTGGCGGCCTTTTTGCGGAAGGCGGAGACGCCGTGTCAACGAGAGGCGCCCACCTTTCGGAGAGGGCCGCCAGATGGCCCCCACGCATGCACGGCGATGACGTAAATACACAGCCAAATCAACCGCATCGTTTGATGGCCTGGGGTGTGTCAGCATCCGCGTTTCCCCAACCCAATCTTGCGGGGGAGAGACGGCTGGTCAGCACTCAGATGTCTTAGGGCAATGTTGGGAGATCCTATTTTTTTTGTTGCCGTTGCCCCCCACCCTCCCCTTGGAAGAGGATTCCGGTTCTGAAGGTTAAATGCTGGATTTTCTTACATTGGACGTCACCACCTGGGCTCCGCGTGTATGGAATGAGGGCATCTCCGAAGTCGTCGTTGGTCCCCGGAGCGCATACAGTTATAAGTATTGGCACCAGTCGGATGCGCAGGTTCAGCCAGCCTTTGACGGTCTGTTATCGTGCAGGCGCACGTTGGAGACAGAACGGGATCCTGCCGATCGTTTCATGGATTTGTTTAGGGCCCTACTGCAGACCTTCCATTTGCAGATGATGACTACTGAGTCCAGCGTCCCGATCTCCGAACTGTGCGCCCGCCTAAGCACGCAACAGCAACGATAGTTGCGATGCCGATTGTGTCGTATTTGTGGACGCGACGCATCCATGTGCAACGTACACAGCACGACCAGAAGGAATCGCTCGCAGCGCAGATGGCTGTCAAAAACGGCAGAGGGGCTGCCCGCCGCTTATGGGAGCGGAAGACGGCAGCCCCATTCATTCCACCACCTCCCACCAATCCCCACAGGCGTCGCACCGCGCCGCCGATGTCCCACCCGATATTTTGAATTGCCCGACCCAATCATCGAGAAGGGAAATGGAGCTTATCCGCCAACGACGCTCGACTGTGGTACGACGGAACACCGACATCTCCGCTTTGAGCCGGCCACACAAGGAGGGCGAACGATGTGGCTTGAAAATGTGGGCGCCGTCAACGTGGAAGCAGAGAATGCCCCTAGCGGGCAATTTTCAACGCTTTTTTTTTTTTGCCGCACGCACGAACGCACGATGAACGAGGAGAGCTGCGCGGCCTTTTTGATGGCAATATTGGATGTGGCGCCACCGACCCGACCGCAGTGCGCCGGGATGCTGCGGTCCATGTCGGAAATGAATCGAACCCCGCTGGGCATGGTGATTCTGGGGTTACAAAAATTGCGGCGCGATGGGAGACGAAGCAGGCGCGCCCCGTGACAAAGGAAGGGATGGGTCAATTTATCCGCAGCCGGACCGATTGGAAGGAATGCGTTCTTTTTTGACTTGCGTGGATAACGGCGAGTCGTTGGTTTGGGATTGCGGCCTTAACCCCCAACAATTTCACACTGGAGGCGGACGGGACCTTAATTTTGGATTGGTCCGTGGCACCAAAGACGGCGAGGGCGGATCCCCACCGCGCCTCGCGGTTCGTGAGGATTGCGAGGGCGGGATGCGTTAGACACTATAAAGCTATGCAGGACACGTTGACGGAACGAAAAGCTCACGAATCTTACGGCTGCCCACTTGGAGCGAGCTCTGGCTTCTTGGAATGCCACGGCGCATTCCATAAAACGGGGTGCGCTGCGGCACGCCGCTCAAATCGTGGAGACATACAATTTTGACCCACACGTGATCTCGCTGTTGGCGAAGCACGTCGACCCGTTCGACCTTCCCCAGAATACTGTTCGATATTTGGGGAGGTACACCACAATGCTGACCCAGGTGTCGTCGCTGGTCGCATTATTGTGAAGGGAGAGGCTGCGGAAGAGCAGGAACTCTGCTTGAAAGCAGAGGAGCGTTTTTTCCATGATTTTAATCACAATCATGCTTCTACCATTACGAGACACGCGACAAGGACGCGACTGGCCACTCCACAAGATGAACACGCTATCCCGTTACAGCAAGTCAACGTGCCCGTATTGAATCTAGAGTGGATCATGAGCCGGTTGAACCCGGCCACCTTGGAGAGGCTCATGCAAGTTTGGGGACTCGTTGGGTGGTCCCCTTTCCCTCAATCCTCCGGTAAAGCGCGCTAAGGCTCACGGAGGATTCCAACCGCTGACGCGCGTTCGTTACGAAAGGCGGGAATAATCGAGGACGCTTTGTCCACAATAACAGGCGGATGGATAATACCTTTTTCGGTTGTGGAGGAGAAAATCACCGGTTTACGACGAAGATGAATTGCGTGGCCACGCGACAAGAACAGCGACGACCCTTATGAGGCTAATGCTCCTCTTTTACGCATTTTCCATTATTTGCCGCCTGTGATTGCTGAGGCCGCTTCCTGCGTGGAATTAAAGGCATCCTTTTTTAAAGTCTTTTTGCCGCGGGAGACTCGGCATCTCTTTCGATGCCGCGTGGAGGACGGCACGCTGGTGGAGCTGACACGGCTCCCAATGGGATACAAGGCCAGCCCAGAAATTCTCCAGATTATTACTTCGGCAATCGCCGGGGCGACGACGGTGGTTCACCCCCTCTGGGCCGCACCTCCATTAGTGCGTATCGACGTTTGGATCGATAATATACGCATTGCAGGGTCGAAAAGCGATGTGACATTGTGGGAAGCCCAAGTGCATCGTAATGCGGACGGCCGTCACGCCACGATGGGGGAGGGCCGCGAATCGGGCGCCACGCAGTACACCTTCCTGGGGGTGCGGTTTGATCATGCTCACCGGGCGGTATCCCTGAGTGAGAAGTTTTTCCGGTCTGTACGCGCCATGCCGGCGCTCAATTCTTCAACCATCGCGGAAATGGAGCTTATGGCGTCCCGCTTTTTGTACGCGGCTGCCATTTTTGACACGCGTTTATGCGACTACTACGTTTTCAGAAAGGTAGTGCGACGACGATTGTCCGCACTTAACCGGGGAATTGTGCAGGAGACATCCCCGGCGAATCTTCCGCCGTCAGCGGTTGGTTTGGGCGAGAGGTTACGACACATCATCGAGAACAATCGTAAGCGAATCATCAAGCCCACGGAAAAGGCATCGGCCGCCATCATCGCGGATGCATCGCTCCATGGATAAGGGGCCGTTTTTATTCCAGACTCCGGCGACGTTAAAATTGCCGGAGGGAAATGAAGAGGAAGCGTTTTCTTATCATGCAGGCCGAGGCGCGCGCTGTACGCTTAGCCTTATCGGCCTTTTCCGTCATTTTGCCATCCACCACTGACGTTTGGGTGGACAACACTTCGCTGCGAGGAGCGGCGAATAAAGGCAGCACAAAATCGCACTCCATGACGTGGGAACTGCGACGGATATATGAGTTTTTGGACTCTCGCGGAGTGCAGGTATCCTTTGCTTACGTGCGGTCCGCGGAAAACCCCGCAGACGGCATATCACGCGGTCGTGTTTTTACAATTCAGGACTTGGCGAAGGGGTGGAACTTGCGAAGGGGAGCGGCGGTGTCTTGTGGTTGGAGGACCCCAAAGTCTGCCATTTCGTAGGTGATAAATATTTCATATCCTAACTGAGGACAAAGCACCATGCTAGTGGTTAATGGATGATGTATATATGTATATATATATATAATTACTTGCTGTTAAACTTTGAGGATTTGGTGTATCCATTTTTATTTCACTCATTCTTTTCTTATTAATATGTTGTTTGTTTTCTATTATCGAGAAACTGCAGGATTCGGCCTGCGGCCCAGAAGATTTTATTCCACTTTTACTTCACGCTTTTTTTTTTCTTTTGCGGCAGCCATGTCGTGGGCAGCAGTTGCACAGAAGACGAGGGATGCTACGGCAACATTTAAAGAGCCAAAGCGGGTTGTTTTTTCTCCTGCCGTTGAGTCCGTAGGTGGTGGCGGTAATGAACGCGAGCATATTGATGTCAGTAGGACAATTTGTCATGGGGTGGGGACAGCAATTCCTACGTACCAAAAGGGTCTCCTCATTCTTGACGCAAATGCCTTTATTAAAGGGATGGACAACTTCAATGACGTGGCGGATGTACTGGTGACAACTCCGCAGGTTGTCGCGGAGGTGCGGGACCGCGCCGCCCGTGACTTACTGAGCCGTTTTTCACAGGCTCTGCATGTCTTGGAACCCTCGAAGGAGGCAATTGCCGCTGTTGTGAGTGTCGCAGAGGAGACGGGTGATTTGGGCGCCATGAGTCGAACAGACATTCGTCTTTGCGCATTGGCGCTGTACTGCTGTAAAGCCACCTACTCTTACAGCC